CATTGTTATTATAATCGATACTCACATCGGCAATAAATATCGTTTTTAGTAGTTTTATTGTTTTTATCGGTGTGCTAGGAAAACTCGGGATTTTCATCATTTCCGATATCTCTGTGGTTATAGTTATCGATAATACTAGATATTTTAATTATAACTAACGGTAAATATTTATCGAATTTTCATTGATATGGTAATCGATAATATTATTTTAATTATTACCAAAAGTAATTCTATATCGTATTTTCATCGATTTGGTAGCTTTTTGACATGGATATGACTATCGATAATTTTATTGTTGTCATTGTTGTCGATACTGACATCGGCAATAAATATCGTTTTTAGTATTTTTATTGGTTTTATCGGTTTGATAGGAAAGCTCGGGATTTTCATCATTTTCGATATCTCTGTGGTTATAGTTATCGATAATACTAGATATTTTAATTATTACCAACGGTATATCTTTATCGAATTTTTCATCGATATGGTATCTTTTAGGCATCGATATAACTATCGATAATTTTTTTGTTGTCATTGTTATTGTTATCGAATTTATTCTCCTTCTTTTCATTTGTGCAGCTAATGTTATCGAGGCTGCTATCGATATATTTACTTCAACGATTTTATTAGCGGTATGGATTTTTTCGCCGATATTTTAATCATTGCTGATATCGCTATAGGTACACATGTTTCCCGATATTATTTAAAATTTTTCAGACATAAAATGTGTGTCAAAATTGTTATCAATATCCGTACCATCTATTTTGTATTTTTATGTATCGTTAAGTGTTTTAATGTCGATATCATTATTTTATTACTTTCATCGCTATTGTTATCGGAATCATTATCGAAATATTTATTATTCTTATTTTCATTGGGATTGGTTTCGAAATATTTATTGTTATAGATATTTTTATCAATATTGATATCGATGTGGATATTGCTATCGATATTACTAGCATTATCGATATCGGTGTCGATATATTTATCGTTATTATTAATATAAATGATAGAAATATCGATACCATTATTTAAATGTTTACCGGCAACAAATCTATGTTTAAATTGGTATCGATATCGTTATTATTAAACAACAACACTTGAATCCGCATCTGTTTTCTAATTTGCGTACTCTACTAAGTATTTAATTCATAAAGTGTTTTCAAATCGCCTGAATTTATGTACATTCCGTTGATAGTATTTACTTGTACATTTGTTAATCTATTCTTTCAGATTTCAGTTTGTGAATTTATCACTCACACAACGATTTTCCGAAAAAAAAAAAAATCTTGTTCATAACTTTCTTTTTCTTTAACTCACCTTTGTCCCAGTTGACGCGTGGTTTGCCCTCCAAAGCGTATGGTGTTTCGATCAGCTGGAAGCCATGTCCTTGAATCAGACCCTTCGCGGTTTCGATCAATTTGGCCTTCAATTTGTCATTGACACCTTTGTAGTGATAGGTCACAGAGATTTTCTTGTCTTCAACCCAAGCGCCATGCAAAACCACCTGTGGGGCAAAGCAAACAGACGTTATTGGAAGTTACTTTAAATCTAAAATGTATAATGTCGAGTTTCCACTATGCATTAAAATGACAAAAGAATTATGTAATGTAAAAATGCCAAGAGGAAGCATACTCAATGAAAATTTTTGTTGAAATCTGGTATAAGTTACTAAACCTTACTAAGGTCCAAATATCACAAATTTTAAACTTTTTTTTTATTTTCTCTTCATATCCGATTTTTATTACCCCCTGTTCGTATCCCACAACTTTTCCCGGCCCACTTCTGCACACCATTACCTTCTCCTTCAGCTCGGTCACCAATTCTTGATGTTTCTTCAAAAGTTCTTCTGGCATTTCAATCTTGAATTTCTTGCCCGATGGGTACTCTACTTCGAGACCATGATTACCAGCATAGGTCACATTGGGGAATTTCAAGTGGTTCTTAATTTCGCTCAGGTCGCGACCAGAGAAGACAACCATGAAAACTTTGTCGTTGGCGGCCAATTTTTTTATATTGATCTCAGTATCCTTTGGCATGGCCGAGAGTTCTTCGCTTAGGGGAGCCAAGGTGCCATCGTAGTCGAGCAGCAACGCAACCTGATCCTCTTTTGTGAAGAAACTGCGTTTATTTTAGGAGAAAATTTTTTGAAAAATTAAATCGTCACAGTCGCACGCTGATAGTTGCACGCATTCGCTTGCTTACCCATCCAGCGCTTTCACGTAATCTTCCTCTTTCTTGAGGAGTGGAGCCTTCTTTTGTTCAGCCATTTTTTATTTTATTTTATTTTTTTCAATTTTTTTTTGTATCTACAACTACACTTTCACTTTTGGCTAAAACACAATGGAATCAACAGAAAATTTCACTCAAGTTAAGCGGAAAATTTGCTGAATGCCCACCGACCGTTTTAATACTACTGACACAATCTGAACAGATCAAAAATCTCTGCAGGCCGCAAGTTAAAGCAAAAGGCGGCAGGCGAACGTCAACGATATCGAACGAAGGCGAAATCGGTCCAAACGATCCGATGCCATGGATGAAAGATATGAAGATTACACATTTAAACATACTCAGGAATTTGTACTCGCACAAGTGAACATATTTATGTATGTATGTACATGTGTATGTATGCATTTATGAGCAACGTTGGAAAATTGTATGCTGTTTGGCCTAACAAACAGTTGGCCAAAACATGATGACGTCGTCATCAGCGACAGATGCTCAGCATTTATTGATTGAGCGAGAATTCTTGTGAGCGTGGAGATCATATATGTATGTAGCTCGCTCCCGCACTCTGAGATTATGGATGCTAAATTTAAAAATTATATCTAAACATTTAATTTTTATTTTGTGTTTTTCTGCCAAAGCAAAAGCGAGCTTTTGCCACCTCCACACTTCAAATTTATTTATGCGACATTTTGAGGACTACATATTTTTTACCTATGCATGTTTGGAGGTATATATTAGAGGACTTCATGAATTCATTCAAATTTCAAGCCAAACAAAGTACAGAAGATTTGAATATTTAACGTCACATACAACACGCTCAGCGTTTGGATCCAGCTAGTAAAATTGCCAGAAATCTGTTAGATATCCGTCAGACTCGTCGGCAAAAAAGTCAGAAATCTGTGGGATTTTGGCCGATATCAGTCAGAGAAGCGTGTGGAGAGGTTGACAGGAAGTCGCACCGATACGACGTGGTAAATTCTGACTTAATTACCGACGATTCTGAAGGATATCTAACAGATGTTTGACCAAATAATCATGGAAAAAAGAAATGTCAGACGTGCATGCCCGAAATCGGACATAATTCGATCAGATATATCGGATAAGGAAATAGATAAAATTTTCCAAACACTTCGCCCAGAAATATGTACGAAACCTGTAAGAATTGTCTAAATAGTCATCTTCTAATTCCGACTTGTCTGATATCAGAAATTGCCTGGCAAATGTGCTAGCTGGTGAGTTTTGTAAGTTATTTTGTTGTAAATTTTCTACCTTCAAATTGGAGAATGTGAATGAATGAATGGAAAACATTCAAATCATTCAAACTCATTTCGGTAAACGTTTTTTTCTACAAAAGAGTTTGTTCGTATTGTAATAGGAGCGCAGCAATATATACATACATACATATGTATGTTTGTACATATGTGCATAGAAAAAAAATATTTTTAGATATTCATACAAAAAATTGTCATTTATTTCAATACAATTTATTTTCACTTTGTTTGAATGGTGTAATGTCGACGATATATCGGAACACGTATTCACTCAAATTCAAAAAAAAATTTGAAGCCAAAATCATTCATTCGTTTTGTAATGAATATTTTATAACCCATTTTGAATGAATTCATGCAGCCCTCTAGTATATATCACATGTATATGAATGTATACTTGAACGAAAAAAAAATATCATTCATAACAAAGTGGCATCAAAATAATATTTCACATACACATACAGATTTTTTCCTGTTATCCGAACTGTTGGATACTTCCAGCGCCTCAGATTCTC